CTACATATGAAGGAACGTTAGACCATTAGTAATATATATTGTGATATGCACCAAATTAGCTAAGGCCTCGGTCCCACAGTTGCCCTTGCTAAGTATATGGGAAACAGAAACAACATATGCCTAATATGCCATAGGCAATTGCTCCAATCAACAAGCAAATACAAATTAATGATAGAACTACGAGAGTTTAACTAGTGAATCACCATACTTGAGTCTGTCTCCAACCAAATGTGATGCCATTCATGCACCCAAGCAACTCGAATAGCCTCAGCTGCAATCGAACTAGAAAAATTTGTGGACGACGTAAAAGAACCCAAAGCAATACCTTGATAATCACAAAATACATCACCATAACTTGCGTGACCCATTAGTAATTACCTTGGTCCACCCCACCATAGGAGGTTTTCAGACAATAGGGATGAAACGCAGGGCAGTAGACAACAAAGAAGAAACACCTAAAATCTGAAAAATAGGAGGACTTGACGCAAAAGGAACCGAAGAAAAAACCGAAGAGGCAAATTCTTTGGAACACAAAAAAATACTAGCCTTGGCATGACAGATACATAGCTTAGCACCCTCAAAACGGATCTTGCTTTGTACAGACCCTAAATACCAGCTCAAAAACTCACGATTAAAGAGGCTATTTAATAACTATTTTGTTTTTACATTTTAGTTTTCATTTTTTTGAAATTGATGAAAGCATTTTTTGTAAAAATATTTTTGGAATCAATCTTTAATAAAAATGCAAATGAATCTTGAAAAAGTACTTGAAGTGCTTCCTACAAAAAGCACATAAGGGGTGGTTCTTGCAGAAAACATTTTAAGTGATTTTGGAACCCAAAAACATTTTTTCTAAAAATAATTTCAATCATTCTAAAGGCACTTTCAAACGAAGCATTCTCATTTTTCTTTTCGTTTTCATGTTGTTGTTGCCTAATCCAACGTCTGATCTCTCATTAAATAAGGAACTGACTCCTCTTGAGACTTGAGTCACGACAAACATAGGGCCAAAAACCCCAAAAATGGAATCAAAGTCCTTATTTTATTAGGCTTATCTTCCTGAACTTTTGTAAACTCAAAATCGTCTCTTTTTTTTTTTTTTTTAAATTTGTGTAAAATCCCTATTAAATAGAAATTTTGTCGCTCCTTTAATCTGCCACATTGATACCAAATTGTAGAGAGCATTGTATTTGTATGTAGCTTGACCTGCATGTATTAAAACTGCCATAACGCCTTCTAGAAAAATGTTTGAATTTTGAAATTCTACAGAAAATACACATTCATATCTTTCGAAGCATGTATGAATCAGCATCTAGTGAGTTGGTACATTTTATTTGGCGAAATCGAGTCATCTACATAGGCAATGCTAACGGCATAGAATTGTAAAAGCCTATTAATCTCATTATTTTTTCTTTTTAGCTCATTTTCTACTCTTTTCTTCTTACAACCAAAAAATCATAAAAGGATAGTAAACCTATATAAAAGAGTTAAACAAAGGTGTAACACATGGAGAATTAATATGAATGAAATGTCAAATTTATGAGCAAAATAGCCCCTAATCTGAATTCCTAAGTTCATATGGTTCATATGAATATAATTTATGACTCTCTCTCTCTCTCTTTTAATTATATTCAATACTCTGGGCATAGATTCTCAAATCATACGTTATAATATTCCTTTTTTACCAAATATAAAGTTCTTTGTTGTACACTCACATGCCTTTATAAATAAGTTAATGATCCCAACAATACATGCATGTGCCCTAGGTGGAGCATGGTCTTATTGAATTGTCAAATGATGATGACGTATCTATATGATAACTGTAGTTTTTTAGGTCCAAGGATTAATTGCATAGTTGCAACTTTAAGAATTCCTTGTTTGATAAATTGGTAAAGCCTTCCATATAAAAAAATTCCATTTGGTCGAATTCAATGAACTCACTATCTATTGAGTACCTACATATTTGTCTTGGTGTTCTTTGCATGAATGACTCTGGACTAGTCATTCTCTAAAGTGAGAGAGCATATTATGTACTGATTTTTGGAATCAAATTTTTGCACATCCGTGTGTGGAAGAACAATTGCTAGAATCCTACAAGACAAACAAAAAATTGTAAAACAACCTAGGCACCGTATGGTACCGGCCAAGGACTCTCTAATGGTCAAGTTAGTAAAGTCTTTTAGAACTCAAACGATGATAGAGAGCGATAGTAAGTGATACTTTTAATATGAACCCTAAGGGTGGATTTATACTAGTTCATATAGGATCCTTGTTAAGATAGTAACCCTTATTAAATCGGGTTTAGAGATCCTTGTTAGGATAGTAACCCTTATTAAATCGGGTTTAGAGGAAACATAGATTTCCTTCTTATTATGATTGTGATTTCTTGCAGAGTATGCAAATCCTGTGAATATAGAATTGGAACTTAATTAAGTTTCCCTTTTGAGGAACAAGATGGTCTTTCTGGATAAGACAAATCCTGCCTATGGATAAGGGCTCATCAGAATGACTTGCTGCATAGTCCGTTACAATATATTCAATCGGGACTATGCAACCCGTTAGGAAACTTATATGTCACTTTGGTCATTTTGGCCACCTAGATCCAATAGTCTGAAAATTCACGGTTTCACACTCATCTTAGTAGATTGTCAATGCCAATTGGTAATTTTATGATCATAAACATTCATGATATGTGTATACGAAAGAAAAACTTAATAAATCTAACTTGTTTATATCTTGTTGATGCACAAAATCAGGTTGACTTTGGATCAACTTATATTCGACCGTAAATTACATAAACATACAAAAACACATGATGTATTGTGGTTGACATCGAGTTTTCTGCCTCCATTTTTCTTCCATTTTTAAGTAACATGTTGTAAGTTTGATTTCGACATGCTTGATATCAAATTGCTAGCACTGTTTTAGGATTAATGAATAGATAACAAAGAAAAAGAAATTGGCACTCCATCTTTTTGGGATAAAAATTCCCACGCCCATGCGGACGTCAAATTCATATCTCCTAGAGCTATTGGGTGGTTGGTTGACTAATTGGCCTCGTATGTGGGTTTCCCAACGGAATAAGATGCAAAATTTTACTTGTAAAGCACGCACTAAGCTAAGGGCTGCCACGCGTTAACTGTGGGCCAACACCAAAATCTCACTTTTAAGAGTTGAGCATTAGGTGGGGTCGTGAGTTGGGTTCTTTGTTTTAAAATGATGGAAAATGATCTGGCAGATCATTTTCTTCGGAATTCTAGGGATCACGTGATTGTGATTGTTTATCGCATATCGTACGATTAGAAATTATTTCAAAATTTAAAAATTAAAAATTAAAATTAAATATGAATATTACCTAACGAAAATTGACCACACGATATACGATAAACGGTCACGATCATGAGATCCCCATGAAAAGAATCCGATGATGATCCTTTTCTTAAAATGATGTCACACTTACTATGTATTATCATTTTGTAGGGTTGTTTTATTAACACTTCATATTTCGTTGACTACACCTCGCCTATTGAAAACATCTCATAATTACTTTTAAAATTAAAAATTATCTTAATAAACCCCATTTAATTTTCTATACTATCTTAATAAACCACATAAGGAATAATAAAGGTGGTTGCTGCCTTGCTGGGAGATTTATCCAGTCTTGGAAATAATTGCTTTTGTTTGTCGAATTCCAGCTGTTCTTGTTTGGTTCTTGCTATAGAAGTTAGTCTATGACGTGACCTCTTACGTTTTTATCTTATTGTGCTCTGGGATTTCAAACTTTAGCCAGCTTTCATCTTCATGAAGTCTCTTCTTTCAACCGGGAAAAAAAGGAGAAATGAAACTTTTTCTTCCGGGTGTTCTTAACATCAATCTATTTCCCTTACGAAAAATCCCATGGGTTCCTTGCAACATTTGCGAATTGTGATTGCGATGCACCCCCCCAAAAAAAAATCTATTGAAATTTTTCTTTGAAAAAACTGGTATCTGAATCGTAGAAAATGTTTTCAAATTTGAACCCTTAGACTGCAACTCGAAAAAAAGAAAAATCTCAGCATGTTCTTGAATTGTTATTAGCTTTTCCGTTAAAAGAACTTAGGGAGGGTATTTTTTTTAGGGCTTAAATAGTCTTTTTATAACAAGATACATGAGTTATTTAATATTAGAATTTATGTAGGGTGTAGTCAACAAAATGTGATGTGTTGATAAAAAAAACCCTATTTTGTATTATATCTTTAACAGAGATAAGTCGACTAACACATATGATTCTATCTCTATTATAAAGATATACGAATGATGGTACAAATAAATAGTAATAATAAATTTTTTGTTTCTTTATGGGTTGTAATGTTTTGTTTTGTTTTTTTTTTTTTTTTTAATCAAAAAGTGACAATCCACCATTTTGAGGGTAAGGAAGTTTCGCATAGCATTTAAGTTTTTATTGGGCATCATCATGTGATTCACTAGTATTAGAAATCGAATCAAATATGTGTTGTATGAAATATGGGTCTAAAATTCGTCCCGAGCCCTGGACCTGTGATGGTTGTTTATATAATGTTTGGGTTGTGGGTGAGAGATGAGGATGAGAGAGGTGTTGGTCTTGTAATTAGAGCATCTCCAAAAGAAATGTCAAAACATAAATATCAAATGTTAATTAGATGTTTGATATAGCAATATCAGATTTTCTCTTTTTGCAACCGATATTTTTTTTGTCATAAATAATATTTGTATGACCTATTTTAAAAAAGAAATCAATAAAAAGAAAATTTTAATATCTATCATTAGTGCATTTATAGGATCCACACAATAAAATAATTAAAAATTATTTGACATCACTTTTTCTCATATGTCAAATTTGTCATATGAAAACTCATATATCAATTCACATAGGAGTGACATGAAGCTCTTACCTTCAAATTTGATTACATGACATTCTACTTAGGATTTGACAAGAGATAGTCTTAATAAATCAATCTCCAAAAATCCCATTTTCCTTAAAAAAATAATTAAAATAAAATAAAATAAAAATTGGAAAGTCTGAATCTTTGTGTGTGGAAATACCAAACATGGAGTAACAAATCAGAAATCTCCTATCTCCAACATTTGTAGGCTCTTCCTTCCTCTTGGAGGAAGAAGAAGAAGAGGAAGAAGAAGACAAAGAGGGATCTTTTCCTCCTCTTTTTTATCAGATATATTTTGTTCAACTCAGCCATGGTTCCCAGCAAGCCCAATTCTACTGTAATCACCTCTCTCTCTCTCTCTCTCTCTCTCTCTCTCTCTCTCTCTCTCTCTCTCTCAATTATGCTGTAATTAATTAATTAATCAATCAATTTTCATTTTAAACTCCATTGGATTTTGAATTTGTAGTGTTGTTTTTGGTGCATGTTGCATTTCTAGGAGAAGCTAATGATATATATATATATATATATATATATATATATTATAATTCTGAATTTTGTGATTGCACTCAATGGCCAGTATTGGACTGATTCTGCTTGAGTACTGGTGTTTGGGCTCAATTTGTTAATCATTGTTATCTGGGTGACTTTGGATCAATCTAAAATTCCAATCTTTGAAGGAAATTGCTTAATAAGTACTTTCGTTTCCTTCATTTTCCCCATTTGTAAAAATTGAATCAAACAACTTATCCAAATCTCAATGCAATACCAGGGTGGTTATATAGGTTAGCTGAAAACTGAAGAAACTTGATTTGAGTGTATTGCGTAATCATACGAGTTAAATAGATATGGAATTCTATTGACACTACCCAAAATGAGATAACTTATAGTCGGAGTGCTGGCGTGGCGCTAACAGTTCCTTTTTGCAAGAAGCCTGAAGTAGTGATAACATGATTCTTCTCCATTGATTTATGACTTTGTGCTGATCTATTGGGCCTGAAACTAGGACATATTTGCCGAAATGAATTTATCGGAAATTTGGTAACTATACTTACCTCTGCATCATACAATAATAACTATGCTAGCTCTATGTTGTTAACAAGATATCCTCGGAGCAGACGAAGTTGTGCTTCTTATCTGATATGCTTCCTGTGGACAGGGCGAACCAAGTGTTTCATGCTCACAGCCAGAGAACGGTTTTCTCAATTCAATTTCGCTTTTAAGTTCAGAGAAAGCAGTCCAGGAACTTTTTCATCAATCTCCCTTTCAGAGCACAGATGACCACCTCATAGAGTTCTCAGACGCTATGAGAAGTATGGTCATGTTCTATTCTCAAATTTTTTACAGTAGTCAGTGAAACAATTCTCATTAATAATTAGTATACATTGCTTATATTACATTCAACTTTCTCTAGCTGTTGAAAAGGCCCTTAGACGGGCTGCTGAAGGAAAGGCTTCTGCTCAAGCTGAGGCAGCTGAATGGAAGCATAAATATGAACTGGAGAGGGCTCGCAATCTACATTTGGAACATAAAGGTTTTTCAATGATTGAACAACATAATATAATTGTCATGCTGCTTTTGTTCTTTCACATAGATGTACATATATTTGATATATTAATTTCTGGTGATGGAAAACACAGTTTTCAAATATTTGTTGATATTATTCTAGCAGGATTAGAAGCCTTAATACAAATACTTGGGTTCATCTAAAAAAGTGCTTAGTTTCCGTCAGTTTTTGTCAAAGCCATTTTTCCTTTTCTTCTTTTTTCATTACCTAAGAGCCCTTTTATTAGTGCAAAAGAATTCTTCTAGCACTTTGTCGTTGGTCGACATTGCACGTCACTTAACCATTGAACTGGAGCATCTTAGTTGATCATTCTTCATTACTTTGGATTTTAGCTTCTTGCAGGCCTTTTCATTGCTTTTGAGATTCTGTATTTGTGTAGCTTTTGTTTCAATAGTAATGAAAAAACAAGATTACACGTAGTGGCTGAAGTTTGAGAAAGGCCATAGAATAAATCTGTATCCTGGTCCCAGAATTAGGTAATGCTGTTTACACTTATAAAAATCAATCTAGTTCATACGGAAAAGCTTTTCTGCTATGTATACTCGACCATAACCACAAATAGTACTACTTTAAATTGCCCTACATTGAGTCAGTTTGGAAATCATTTGGCCTCCCTGTTATCCTCTCTATCCCCTATGTTAGTTAAATGAGAATTAATTTATTGATGATGAATTTAAAAACTTCTCGACTCTAAAGCATATAGGTTTGCATTCCTGTGTCATTTTCTAGTGATATGTTGTTAACTAATAGCTAATGATGTAAATTGGCGTGATAGGGCCTTACTCTCATACCTTGTAGAAAGTCTTTTCATGTTTCTAAAGATTTGTTGTAGAGCACAAATTAGACTCTTCAAAGAAAAGTACCAGAGATTCAATGCTGGTATCTCAAGCCCTTGGGGTTAGTTCAAATGGTGATGGAGGGAAAATGGGACAGGATTAGGATAGGTCAAGATTCAATCCACTCCAATTTAACAAAAACAAAGTACCAGAATCTAAAATGACTGTTCTAAGAAAGACGCCTTTGTGAAAGAGGTTACTGAAATATTCCTTAACAAAATATCATCAATGTAATGTGAAAAATTACATAAGATAAAAGCATAGAAGAAAAGATAAAAGTATAGAACTTTTTCTTCGGAAGTTCATGGCCAAATTTACTTGTTGAAACAAAAGACAAAAGGAGAAACGCTCTAAGCATGAAGTGTCTTTTCCCCCCCGGTAGCCCCTATTTTGTGGTAACATGGAAAAAGATGTCTTTAAATGTTAAGGGGGGTTTCATGTTCTCAAATATTGAACTGAGGTTGTAGAAATGAATCTTCATAAGTGAAGGCTCTGGATAATTCAATGTTTGATGGGTTTCTATTTTCCTAAACCAAATTGCTTCTGTGTTTAACACTTCGTATACTGTTAAGCCTGCAGCCTTAAGCTGTAAGGGCACCTTAGATATACATGTGTACATACGTGCAAAACTATACATACATATAGTTGATGTTACTGGAGAGGGACATAGTTAGCACCTGTTCAAACAGTAGAAACACTTTCAATCTATGCTATAACATATAGAGGCAAACACTAAATCTCCAAGAGAGAAAAACTAATAATGTAAAATCTATTGTTGTTTTGCCAGAAAAATATGCTAAAATATTTCAAACGTGCCAAGGGTGCTCCGCCACTGTATACACCTAGTTCAATGGGGTCACATTAATTCATTTCTTCTCCCATCATCTCTCCCCTTTTTTGGTAAACAGGAAACTTTCGTGAAGCTTTATGAAATGATCTTGTCTTAGAGGGCCCTTCATATGTTTTCATTTTGCAATTTTCACAAATCTTTTGTCTTTTCTTCCCTTTCCTTCTGGACAGGGTCTCCATTTATTGTTTTTGCGTATCCATTCAGTAGTGCTTATCCTAGAAAAACCTTTTACTTCTCTCGGAATGCTTCTTGTGGTTGACGATCTTATTGGCCATAGTATTGAGTTGACTTCTTCGTGATACCTCTGCAAATGTTTAAAATTAGCTCAATTGCTTGGTGTTGCTGGTCTTTCTAATCATATTTGGACTCATTATCATCAGATTGTGGGTATTCCACTATCAGGCGACAGCTTTTATGAAAAGCTACGAAGTTTGTGGGCTCTGAGTTTTCTACGTAATGCAATGGGAATGATAGGATTTATGCTTCCATGTGTATTCTGCTTGGAAATTTGCAAGCAACCGGACAGGGAAGTTTCTGAAGGTACTTGCTTTGTCTTATACACAAATAAAGTCATTCCGATGCGCGCACAAAATAAAGCTGCACATTTCTAACAGAAGATAATTCCCCTTTCTAGTTCTTTTGGGGTCAATTTAAATAATTAAAATAAGTAGAGATATATAAAAACCTCTTTCCTTGAGAGGCCAGGATAGAAGAACGTTGTTAAGCTTTGAGGTCATTTGATCTTGTACAACAATATAAATTACTAACTACAAACTGAGGAGCTGTTGTTAATTTGAGTTGATGGTGCTCCAAGGACAAGGGCTAGTTATGCAGCAAAGTATCAGTAACTGTCCCAGAGTAATTTCCTATACGCCTTTATTGGTTGAACAGACCGTAACAAATTTTTATTTGTCTAAACTTTTCCAACAATATATTAATGTGCTTAATATTTCTTTGTTACAACATAATGTGAATGAATCTCACGTTATTTTTCTGACCAGCCTTCAAAACTACTACACTTTTTCTCATGTCAAAAGTTTTCCCTTCCTTAACAAGAGAGTTGCAAGAGTCTTGGAGTTAGTGATGTTTTGGCTTATATATTGTGAATGCATTTGGGGTTTCTTTGTGCTTAGACTCATGCATTTGTTGGTTAAAATTATGTAGTTCTTGGTAATTGATTTATTGCATTTTTTCCGAGATTATTAAAGTTTAGATGCCCAAGGGGGTGTTTGATGTGGGGGTTTCCCCTGGTTACTGTGGTTGTTTCTCAGTTGCATCACTGTTGTGGTATCATTAGTTTTGTTCTTTTGTGCGTGGTACTTGTGCTCATTCGCATAATTCGATGTATACTTTGTTTCACCTTAGCATAGGTGATGTTGCCCTGAGCTTCTTTGTTTCACCTTATTCATACCTTAATAGAAGGGATTTTCTGGCTTATGTTACAGAGCAATCAAGTAAAGAGAATAACTGCGTTGATGAGAGGACAGAGAAGTTGGCCAGCCAATCAAATGAGCAATCTGAACAGTGTTGTGGGAGGAATGGGATATGCTCCTATGAAGTTCTTCGGGATGAAAGCTGTTGTGATTCCAAGGCATTTCTCAATAAATATACCAGAAAGGTACCCTTTCTTTTGTGTCCTTCCCCTCCTGTTCAGCTAATCTCTGGCTTGTTTTGTACACCGTGATTCATGAGAACTATTTAATATCTAATAAAAGTATCACTCCAATTTGGACTTGGATGGTGTGAAAAGTTTTAGGTTGGAAAAAGATTTTGCTGATCATCATTCTGCTTCCAACGTGAATTGTTTAAACCATACGAAACCACAGTAAAAGGAAAGTAATATTCCTAGTAGTTACAGGAAATTAAAGCTAAACAAAAGCTTTCCCAAACAATTCAGTCAACAGTTGGACCAAAATAACAACTATTCAGTCAACTATAGCGCTCTACACGTACCAACAGATAGTAACCCCATGACTTTTTGTATCAGTTATTAACATTTCATTACAAACACTCAGCGTATAGATAATGAGCCTTAACAATTCTAACAACTTAGCATATGGTCAAAACTAAGATTTACACATGTTCTGTAGCCTAATATCAAATTATTTTTTTAGTAAGATGTTCTTGGTTACCATTATTTTTTTCTTAAATAATTTATATTTATACCACCGCTACTACTACTACCACCAACTGAATGCAATTTTCTTTGGCTGTCATAATGCATTGTTCACGTTAAACATGTTGACACATTATTGCTGCAATGAATTTTATTGATTATATCATGAAATCCATGTTTCTTGAGACAGGCATCATTTAAACTTTCATGGTGGTGCAACGGCGATGAGAGTGACCAGCACAAGCATGACATCGTCTCTTTTGAAAGGGGAAACATTACAACTGCAGAGCGTAGTAGTAAACAGGTATAACCTATTCTGTATGCATGTTGCTTGTTTTTTTCCCACTGTTTTTGTGTCTTTTGAATGGCTCCCATCTACTGTCTATTTAAGATCTCGATTTCATTTCAGATTGCTTTGAAGTGGGAATCTCAGCCACAGACTGTGATTATATTGACGAAACCAAATTCAACTTCTGTTCAAATTCTATGTGCCGAGATGGTCAGGTGTGGCTCTTAATATTTCTTTAGTCTGTCATCTCTGATACCAGATTTTGTTTCCTGCATTAGCTGTTTTTCATATTATTGTAGGCTTGAGATCTGTGACCTCAACACATTATATTCAAGAAATGACGACTTGTAGTTAAATCTTAAGTATGGCAATGCTGCAACATTTTCATTATTACAATTACTGAGGTTGATTACTCTGCTTTTTCATCGCTAAGTTGTATATTTTAAGACAATGTTGTTTTTTCACTCACCTTACCAATTGCCTCCCATATGGTTATTTAAAATAGCCCCCCGTCATGCACTGAAAAAAAACGCATTGACGCAATTTCTCAAAAAAAATGGTCATGTACATTCTTGTGATGTCCCTTATGCCAAAATTCAATTTATAGATGATGCTGTATCTTTGCATTCTTGCATGCCTATGTAACTTTGTACTTGAATGTTCGCACATGTTTTTCCTTTCCTCAGTCTTGAATTTCCCTTTCCAGATGGTTGAGTGAGCAGAAAAAGTTAAATATTTACGTGGAACCACGAGTAAGAGCTGAACTTCTAACAGAGTCATCTTACTTCAACTTCGTCCATACATGGAAGGATGGTGAGAACCATAGAAGATTGTTTCTTTTCTATTATATTTTTGAAGAGACTTCTATCCTAGAGTACATGCAACAAATTCCGAGACTTGTTTTTGTTATGCTTTTTACAAAAGATTTTTTTACAGACCTTTTCGCTACATGCATATTTCTGTGTATGTAATTCTTCTTCTTGTTTTATTTTTTTCTAAATAAGAAATAAATCTTCTATTGATAGTAGAGGGTCAGTGTAAAGCAAGGAAGGACTATCCGAGGCTAACAGAAGAACGTTAAACAAAACAATTCAAATCATTAGGAAGATACTACAAGATCATGGGTGAAAATCATTAGAATTACACTGACCAAGTATTTGGGAAATAGCCTTCTAGGGATGCTTGAAAGTCATTCTACCAGCCTCGATCGTTTTCTTGCAATTAACATGTTTCATTATTACATAATCCACAAAGATCTGTTGTTAATCCATATCGCATTGATCATGTTGGTCAGAGTTATTATACATATGCAACTGCACTTGTGTGAGTTGTGTCTGTTTGTTTTTTATTTGAGTAATGATCTTACAAAATGTCCAGCCACAGAGCGCTTTATGCATGCATACGTTCTTTCTTTAATTCCCAGTTATGGTTTAAGTGATAACAAATTGGGCATGCATTTAAGACTTTTGCATAATATTGATCTCAGGTGATTGTTTGTAACTTGTAAATTAATAAATAAGTTTTGTTTAATAATATATTACTAGCTTGCTAATTGTGCTCGGGATTTGCTGTTTACTGTTTAGAGTTTCATCTTTTGCTTGACAGAGACCGAAATAATGCTCCTGCACACAAAAGTGGACCTTGTGGTAACTCTTGGCGGGGATGGAACTGTCCTCTGGGTAAGTGCATATAATTTTGAGCTTTAACTTGATTACTTCAGAATGTTTTAGTGCATTAAACTGTTTGGGTTGAGGGAATTAAGCATGTATCGGACCACTTTTTGGTTCATTTTAGTGCATGTGTGCTCCTGTCAATAGCAGATATCTGAGTTCTGATACATGTCTGTTATCCCTTGTTTCTAAGCGGTATTTATCTTCCAATATGGTTGTTATTTTATAGTCAAAGAAGTTTCATGGACAGTTGATAACTTCAAAACCCAGCTACTGGAGTTTTGCGTCGCAGATCCCACCTTCCCAACAGCATGCAGCCCCTCGGACCATGTCAGAAGGACAAAAAAAAAAAAAAAGGAGAATACGTAAACAAAATGGTTTAACAATATACATGATGCAATCGTGCGATGGAGGGGTTGGAATTAAACACGATCATATTGCTCTTTCGTTTTTACAGTTCACAATAATTTATTGTCACACGTATTTATGAATCGCTATGCCATGGTCGAATATGTTAGACGTAATCAGTATGTTGACTAGAGAGATCAATCCATTAACAGAAAGAAAGGCATACAATTGATTAATATTTTGTTGTACTTATTTTGTTGGCAGTAACAACTGTTTTCATTTAATTTGCAGGCAGCATCTATGTTCAAAGGACCAGTTCCTCCTGTTGTGCCGTTTTCATTAGGGTCACTGGGATTTATGACTCCTTTTCGTATCCTTTTGTCATCTCTTTTGGAAGAGTTCCTTTTTAAAATGAAATACTCCAAAATTAGTTTCTAAAGTTACTCTCAATGTTTACTTGCCTTTTATGGGATCTTATTGTGTTACTTTTTATTGTTCCTGTATCTCATTCAAAGTGATCTTTAACATGCTTCAGACAGTGAACGCTACCGAGACTATCTTGATTCAATTTTAAACGGTCCCATTAATATCACATTGCGACACCGGTTGCAGTGCCACGTTATTAGAGAAGCAACCAAAAATGAGTATGAAACTGAAGGGCCAATGCTAGTACTAAATGAGGTTACAATTGACCGTGGGATATCATCATACCTCACAAATTTGGAATGCTATTGTGACAATTCTTTTGTCACGTGTGTCCAAGGAGATGGGCTAATATTATCAACAACTTCTGGCAGTACCGCGTATTCATTAGCAGCTGGAGGATCAATGGTCCATCCCCAGGTTTGTTTTTATACTATGATCTATAAGTGCCTGTTACAGCTATTAGAGATATTATATGGTAGTTCTGCACTTTATAGTGCCTGTTGCTTGGTGTATTGGTAGATAAGATAAGACTACTGACATGTGATGCTCATAATCTTGACATAACTGTTTGTGTCGGAGACATCAAATGAGCGATTCTGAATCAGAGTTACTGGGAAGACAAAGCGAGTTTTCGTCAGATATATGTTATACTACTGCGTATATTAGCCTCTTAGCGCACACTCTGCATATTGTGGGGAGGGTTTTCTTTAATGAAATAGGGTGAAAACATAAGAGCAAAACAATCCCCGTTATAAAATGCTCAAAGGCGTGAAGTACTACGTAGATGATTAGCAGAGAAACAGTGTTGACGAAAACTGTTCCTAGAATATTTTAAAACTAGTAAGTAATAAATTACAGTTAAAATTTTGAAAGAGAGATTTGCAGTAAATTCCTTAAAGCTGTTATTATCTGTAGCTGTTCCATGTTTTGCAACTGTAACATTGTAATTATGATTTTTTCTTCGTAATTACAGGTTCCTGGAATTCTTTTTACACCTATCTGTCCACATTCCTTATCATTTCGGCCTTTGATATTTCCTGAGCACGTGACGTTGCGAGTACAAGTACCCTCCAACAGCAGAAGCCATGCATGGGCGTCGTTTGATGGAAAGGGCAGGAAACAGTTGGCTGCCGGCGATGCACTTGTGTGCAGCATGGCGCCTTGGCCTGTCCCTACTGCATGTCAAGTTGATTCCACCAGTGACTTCTTGAACAGCATCCATGACGGCCTCCACTGGAACCTGAGAAAGACTCAGTCGTTCGATGGCCCTCGGGAAGCATAGTGCGTATTTTTTCTTTTGTATACTAATTCTCTAGTTTGCAGGTCCGGATAGAACCAAAACCTAACGTGTTATTAAGGGAAGAAAGGGGGAGGTGAGTCGGGTGGAAGGTGAAGAGCAAATCTAAAAGTCCTGGGATTATTCATCTTTCATGTGTATGGTCTCCTCCTCGAATAAGTTCAAGGGTTGAAGCAGAGCACTTGTTAAATGGATGCCAAAAGATTAATTTGACCGCTTTCGTCATCAGGAACTTGTACACTGGATGTTGATCACTGATCGAATATATACAAGCAATTTAGAAATTGTCCAGTCTACGAATTCATACTCTCTTGCATAGAGCATGCATTTGTATTGCTTTACGTATATGATTGTTTGGAACACTTTCGTAAGCACTTGTACTGATAAACGCTTTTGCTCAACTGCTTTAATTTTATTTGAATCGTGTCAAACAATTTTTTTGCTTCTCTATTATAAAATGCAAGTGGGCTTCTTAGCAAATTGCACCATAGCAATCTAGACTCAAAAAGTAATCGAATTGCTACACGCCTCTCTAATTCAGGTGAGACTCACATACAACAGCGGGGCACACCTCTGCTAAAGACATGGCCGACAATGTGATCAGCTTATGTGTCAAATTAGTGTTATTTATAACTTACTATTTTACTCAAAGAATTGTTTTACAAACCAAGCGTTACTCTAATTTTTATCTGCAAGGAAATGCCAAGTCTGCGTAATGTGTTCATCTTGTGTACCTGTTGTTTGAGGTGATTTTGTTGGAGAGATAAATCACGTGCGTGCATGGGCCAAAACAGCTTCTTACGTCCTACTCCAATCATACACCTCGCCAACTCTAATTCATGTGAATTACCCTAATGGGAGGGATTTTTTTTTTCTTTTTTCAAATTATATAAAAACCTTGTCAAGTAAAGGTTGTGATGCACTATTTTATTGAGATTATTAATAAATAAAACTTGGTTTATCTGGCGAACCCTATCTTTTCACTTTAAGAACATGACTTACGGGGTTCACGTTACTCCATCCTACTCATCCCTCCACAACTCTACATATGTTTGGATGATGGGAAAGTGGTGATAATAAAAAATGGAGTTCAATGTCCTAACCGAGAAAAACTATTCTTTGTGTGACTGTGTCATCACTTGACATGCCGATGTGGTGTTACCAATCTACATGAGCGATATTGATTACTAACTTAACCCATCATACATATAGGTTTGTACATCATACATTTTGTAGTGCATTTTCTAGGCAATCAAGGGAAGGGTCATCATGCTTTTTGCAAGGACTTGTCCCATAGATCCTGCAATTATTCCACGCAACGTTGAACTAACATTTTACATGCATTAGACCTTCGTGCATGGTTTTCTATGCCTCTCACGTAATGCGCCAGACGGGGTCCTTTCTTCGTCGTGCATACCCCTTTGCACGACGACGTCTTCTCCTTCGTCGCACAACTAGTTTTTCCTACTAGTGTCACATCCTTCAAAATGCGTTCCCCACAGAACACCAACTGTACCACAACCCAGCAAAAACCTTTACCTCTTGGAGCTTTATGCAAAGCCGTAGCTATCTCAGGAGTAACCCTATTGTTTTTCTACAAATATTTGTTTGAAAAATAATCACAAAACTACCAATTACCTTCAAATCTATTCAAAAACCTTGAAATAAAGCTTTCCGGTGAATATGACTCCCGACTCCCCCTTCTACCAATCTAAGCCGCACTTTTATCGGAATTATTGGCTCCATGAACACATGGAAGACGAAAAAAACCAAACATTGAGGCATGGTGGCGACCTAATTTCACTGGGGTACCTCTTTTTAGACAGAGCTCCTACGCCGGAATTTCTACCTTGGCCTCTGTCTTATCTTCCTTTTCGAGTTAACGAGGCATCACTAGACTGAAGGTTTACCCCGAAAGTTCATAAGCCATTCCAAGTACACATAGTACGTACAATCCTGGAGACATTTAGAGAGGGTGACATCAAAGATATGAGATGGTATGTAATGGCGGATGACGATACTGTCTTCTTTGTTGATAATTTAGGGAGGCTCTAGCAAAGTAGGACCATAACAAGTACCACCACATTGGTATGGAGGAGTAGTGACGATAGAGGAATCATGGAGAAGAGGTCGATATGCTCGTTCCCAATCCTCACTGCCACTGGGGAACTTGAAGAGGAAGATACAGAATACATATATTGGGGGTATTTTAGTCTTTCAATGCCCAAAAATTCCAATAATATCAAGGAGCATGTAAATTTTCTACTTCTACACTGCCCTCTTTAAATTTGTTTTATTCCGGATAATTTCCCATTTGTTTATGCCTAGTCACGAAAATGACATTTTTTTTTTGGACAAATAATATTATCTACACTGTGGAGTAGGAAGTGGACTAAGTCTCACAGTAAGTCAGCCATAATAATGTGGTTTAAATTCGCATATGGCAAAAATCAAACCTAAAACTTCTCACTTACAAATAAAGAGGAATACCACTTGTAACACTCCCATCCCGTCCCATCCCGTCCCGCCCCGCCCCGCCAATTTATTTCAGGATTACAGTTAATGGTAGGCCAAAAATATCATTGTTACCCTTCAGGTTAACAACAACCATTCTAACATTCCTTTCTTTGATGATTTTCCACTAAAATTTAATGTCGTCCTATTTTATGGTTGCATTTAACTTCTGCAACAACCAAAACAAGAGTCATATAATACTCTAATAATAGCAATGCCATGGGAAGAATATAGAATGCTTATAACACAAACCCAACCCTTCAATTTCTAAAGAGAACCGAATTGAGGTTAGGATTTCAATGTTCTTCCCTATATATGCAACCGATCATGACTACCCGGTTCCGATTCAACTCCTAAACAATACAACAAGCATCATCTCAAATATGCATACAAAATATCGAATTCAAATTCGAAACCAAAACTAAAAGTTATAACCTTGGGAAAATACTTACGCCAGAGGAGAGCCCACGTGGGGAGAATCATTATTTTCGCTTGGGTCCAGCCAGATTCCAGCGGGATTGCCCCAAATCAGAGAAAAGTCGCCGGAACACGTCAATATGTTTGGACCTCGTTTTCTTTATACAATGGTTTTCAAAGGGTGGGTATCGTAAGATTGAAGACGGCCTCGCTACGAAACTATAGCTTCCGACCTCACGTGATTTCCTTATCGTATGAGGAAATTATGATGAATATAGTTTGAAAGGGATCCCGTGAGCGAAGGAGGAAGGAGGAAGGAGGAAGAAGAAGAAGAAGAAGAATTCCTTTTTCCCCCCTTCTCCCCTTTTCCCCTTCTTTTCCCGTTTCTTCCCGATCCTCCTCCACCTCCCATCTGTTCTTTTATTTTTTTTCTTTCCTTTATTCTATCATTAATATTTTATATCTAGTGCTATTATCTTTTCCACTACTTTAAATAAAATAATTTATATGGGTTTCGTTCATAATAACGAGTGCTATTAGGATATACTAATTAATATGTCACACGTGATCTGATCAGTAAGTTAATGAAAGTCGACACATACCCTCTAAGAGCATTTTTGTCTTTTTACTTATCGAACAAATATCCATCGTAAATTATGATTACAAAATACTTAATTTAATAATCAAATTCAGAAACGGGATTTCACATTTCCCCACTAAAATATTCTTAACCATTTAGTGATTCATTTTCCCATTTTGCCCACATATTCATAAATATGAATATCCTATTCATATACTTACAATTTTTTTTTTCAAGGTATTACACCACTAGACCGTAGTACTAAATGGCTAGTCACGAAAATGACTTACATTGCAAACTTCACAAAACACGCGGACCAAATTGAAAGAAATTAAAAAATATAGTGACCGAATTAGATTCTAGCCATAAGTTCTAATCATTTATGGCCCTAAATATTTTGTACTCCGGATAAGGGTGTAATACTAGAAAGATTAAATTTGTAAATCAAATGACATGTAAGTTGATGATTAGATCATCACTTAAGTGTTGATTAACGTGCTTATTTTTTTTTTATAACACATCATTTGATTTGCAAATTTAGTCTACACTACATCTAAACGTAATCTCTCTAATAAATGTAAGGTCGACAATACAAGAAGGTTCCACCTAGGAGTAGAGTTTAGGAAAGATGTTTTCAATTTCCAAATTTTGGATGACTCAGATAGAAAACAACATTTCTAATTTTCGTTCCAAAATTTCAAAATCGAATCGAACATAAATTTCAAATTCAAAATTTTTGAAATCATAGTAATCTCAAAAATTTCGAAACATAATTCGTAAATTCGTATTTTATAGATTTTTTAATATTCTCAAACTTTTTTTTATAAGGAAAACTAATGAAAAATGCTTGAAAACTTTGAGTTTTAACAATAAGGGCAAAATAAAGGGTAAAGTGAATAGTACCATGATTGACTTTTTAGTGTAGAAATGTGATTTTTCGTTAAAGTGAATAGTACCGGAAGCTTTTCGTTAAAGTTCTATTTTTTATATGCAATTTATTGTTCTTTCTTAATATTTCGTATATATTTATATATATATTCAATTAATTTTTAGGAAAACTAACGAAATGTCCAAAAAAAACTTTAGTTTTAATGAAAAATGACAAATAAAGGTGCAATGAATAATACCAGTGAAAGGTAAAAATGTGGTTTTTCGTTAAAATTCCCTTAATTTTTTGGTATACTAGTATGTTTATCCTTTTAATATGTAAGTGTATTTTAATATAAAAACAATGAACAAAATATATCCAAAACTAACCATAAAATACAAAAAAAAAAAAAATTGATTATAACATACATAATTTGAGTAAATGACTACAAAAAATCAGAATATTCAAAACTATTTTTTTATTGGAATAGGTTCGGAACACAAAAAAAATATTCAATATTAAAAAAATATTCAAAATCGGTATTTTCAAGCTCAAATTTGAAATTTTTATTGAGAAATACCATTCCAAGTTGCACCCCTAGTCCCAACTTTATTAGAGAAATGATTTAAATGCAATCTTCCTAGTATTTTCCCTTCATTAATTTTGTAAAGGGACGTGATTTGTATACGCCATTTTCACCTGGTGCACACCCTTCTTAATTTTGACCCTCTGATTTGTTTAATCCAACCGTTGATAAACAAAGGGTATGCAGAGGTGAAAAATGTGCAGATATCATTTCCCAACTATAAAATCCATTTCCTGCTGTTCAAATTTCTGTAGCAAAATCCTTACAACATCTAAGGGAAGTAAAACGAGAGAATGTGTGAAAGAAAAATGCAAGGGAAAGTAAAAGAAGAACCAAACACAAAAAGTTAGCTCAGCCATGAGCGGTATAAATATATTTGCGGAAGAAAAAAACCGAATTAACCTAGCACTTTTAACTCGCATTACTTCAATTATCTCAGTTTTGCCCGATTTATGCAACGAATTGGAATTCATCAAACCGACAATGACGCCTTCACGAAACTTAATCAAATGTGGAAATGATCCCATTGGTATACTAATGAGCCTTCTGAATTCCTATGAAACGAGCATAGTCCACCCACCTGCAAAGAAAAGAAGTAGTAAGAGGTGGGTGACAAGGGTGGTGGTGGGGGGAATAATTCGAACCGGTGTAAAAATTCAAACGGCACAAGTAAGGCACAAGTTCTCACAATAATGAACCCAAGAATGTGTTTCCAGTCCGAATGGCAAAGCAAATTGCGCTTAGCATGAGCTTGTTTTGATGTAATAGTGGTTCCAAAAACCTTTGTTCAATAACACCAGCCAACACTTGGTACCTGCCAAAGAATTTTGCATTTTATTAGAAGCTTGTGTTGGTAAAAAACACAAGTTATTGTTCCGTTTCCTCGAGCTTTGTTATTATATGCTTATGCCCGACAAACCAATACTGATAAAAATTTTCGTACCTGAGATTGCTAGAAACTGCCATGTAGACACCATATGCAACGCTAGTGGATACTATAGGCACATTCTCAAGTTCACCTGCTTTGTCCTTATCAACCGCCTTCCTTGCGTTGATCAAGGCATTTGTCACAGCTGTGCCAACCTAATGAAAGACAAGATTCATTAGTGCTACTGAGTCACATAAGTTAGCATAGAAGTAAAAACTTCTGTAAGAGATTTGGATGGACTCATAATTAAAACTGCAAAGGCATACATACTAGCTAAAAGTAGTAAAGCATCCAAAAGCCATGTAAAGCTTTCAATAAGATGTATGTTTGAGCGTGTGCTTGTGCGCTACATATCAACTATCCATGCCAGTTGGGGAACTGTGCAGATGTCGTAGAGGTTAAACGTAAGGCATTTGAATTCATTCCAAGGAAGGCACTGATTACTTCACACTTATCTCTCTCTCTCTCTCTCTCTCTCCCCCTCCCTCCTCCCCGAAGAGGTTCAAATTGGGTTTCTCTAAACATCGTTGGCTCTTCTTAGAGGTTTTCTAATTTGGAATAGAACACCACCAACAAGAAATGCCCTCCTTAAGTTTCGGTTGCCTTAAAAGATGTCTTGTCCACCTGCCTTCTCTAAACTCTAAAGATGCCACAATGGTTGGTATATCATTAATAGATATGTGACCATGTGAACACTAAAAAGCAAGAAGACAAGTTACTCAGCTGTAGCAAGGACAAATCCATTATATATCTCAACCTAACCGAAGCGTGAGGTCCATGGGCCTCCAGGCAAAAACAAAGGGGAAAGAACCTAAAATTGGCTCAAATGCTCAAACACAGTGCATGTCGGCTGACTTCACCTTGTGGACAGCCAAAGTAGCCTCTGTAGTACAAAAGGTCACCACTGATCCAAACCAACCCGCAAAAAAAATTGCTCCTCAATTTACATGCTATTAGGAGCAATAACATTATCGCATTGAGGTTACAAGTACAAGGGCTACACAAAGAGTTTTCTTTCATTCAGCTATACCTTTGGTGCTTCACTACAATTATAACAATTAAGATGCTTTCTCACCACTTCCAGCACTAGGCAGAAGAATCGACTCAACATATCAACTGAACATTTTGCTTCTTTACATTAACCTATTGAATGTGATGTGAAAAAATTCACAATATGATAAGCTCGTTGTGAGCTTTACTTTACCAGCTTTACAAGATAATGAAATTTACAGGACGTGTCTACGATGCATGAGAATTGCTGTCACCTCAAATTGAAACGAACATGCAGAGACAAATGAACATGAAAACACACCAGTGGATGGACAAGTGGATCACTTCACTAATCAATACGAAAACAATTCTCGGAATCACCATTTCGAAGGAGTTAAAATGTACTAACCAGTGACGAAGCAGTACCAACAGCAAATAGCTTGGTCCCATTTCTCTGCCAAAACAATTTAAATATGTGATTTCGTTCTTACCTTCAAAATTCAGATCAAATGAAAAACAGTTACCAAAAGTATCTTACCACTACTCCACCAATCCTCTGTAATAATGAGTATGATGTTCCAGACATAGCGATCTGCATAGAGAATTTCATAATCATTTTAAGTAACTATATCTGGCTTCTGATTTGATCTAACAAAACAGTCAGTACAGATTCAGGAATTCGTAGAAAATAAACCTGGAAGGCATTGTCGGGGCAGCCATGGAAAAACCTAGTGATTGCTCCTGCATTGAGCCCAAGTGGAGGTCGAAGAGATACAGTTGGGGCAGGAAGATAAACAAGCATGAAATCTGCAAGTATGGCCATTACCTAAGAGAAATACACTGCAAACATAAATGACAGAAGCTAAAACATATATAAGACGCAGTTTGATGTTAACTGAAGTTATTTCAACGAAAAAAGGCTATTTGCTGACTATTATGCAGCTAATACATAGTACGCATCAAACAAATTTCTTGTCAATTAATCTTCACATAATCATTTGAATTCATCACTACGAAAGTCCAGTACCCACAAATGGATCGAAAAGCATCAAACTATCTCACTGTGGCTTACATTATTCATCTACAAATACAGCAAGAAATTGGAAGAAAATAGATTGCTTATGAGATGATGCATTAGAATCATAATTTGAGGTCTATAAAATTGATCATGTGCTTTGCCTTCGATTAACATGCCGAATAAAAGGCTATGGACTTAAACATGCCTACTCACGACACATAATACATGGAAAGCAGCCAATTCTACCCGAAAATACCCTGTAGCTAAGCAAGCACTATAAAACTACTTCCAAATCAACTTCCATAAGCTAGAATGTGTAGCTTCAAGCACGCCAAATGCCAATAAAAAGTAACAACACGGCCAAGGTGATCATCGATATGCATATAAAAGAACAACGATGAATCACGAAAGTAAGTCGATATCGAAAATGTGCAATGTTAGCCAAAACCAATGTGATTGGCAGAAAGCAAAACTCGTACCACATCTGCAAAAACAACTTCCAGCTCGTTGAAAAAGTTCTCTCTCCGCCTCTCGTACTCTGCAGCAGTCTACAAAAACCGAAACAAAACCAATTAAAATCGAAAAAAATGAGAACTTGAATCAAATTTGAATTAAAGAGAAAACAGAGAAAACAGAGGAAACAGAGAGAGAGGACCTTAGTGAAGAGACCAACGCCACATTCCATGAAAACCTTAGCAAAGAAAAGATCATCAGCGAGCAACCTCTCTCTAAACCCAGCGAATTGCATCAACCACCGGAACAGACCCGACTTCTCCAGCTCAAAGTACCGCCCCACAACCGACCCGGGGATCCGACCCGCCTGGACCGCAGC